TGTAGCAGCATAATGCATTGCATCGTTCTGCTTACCATTTCTTTGAATCCGTTCGAAAGAAATCGATTTTGTACGACCGCTGTAACGCTTGCGGGTGGTGCGTCTAAATCCCTAAATGAGTCCAACACAATAAAGTCGAGGCAAATGTCATAAAAAGTCATTGCTTTCACATTACGCGCTTCCAATTCTTTTTGTATTTCATCCCAATTATTAGGATTCTGCAAATAGTTGATCATATCCTCGTAGCCCACCAGAAACTCTTTGGTATCTTTATCGCCTAGACAGAGCAGATCGGTGAGTATTTGGCGACCCGTATCGCAAACCCATTGGCCGATTGAGGGATCCTGTAAATACGCAGATATGATAAATGAAACTACTTTATTATTTAAGAACTCACTTTGAATAAATATTGAAATGCCAAGCGTACACAATGCAGTTTAACCAGATATTCTGTATCACTCGAACAGTGCACCAGGTCAGCGCGAATAGTACGGTAAGGAATAGGCGTTTCTTCGTGATGTTTGAGCGCCGCATTGTACAATGGATATTGTTCATAAGATGTGTCCACAAATTCCTCAAAATCACGCATATCTGCAACTTGATCTAGCGCCGAGGCATAGCTTTCAGCTGAATCGAAATTTGGATCAGAACCTGTGCGACTCATCAACGATCTGTGCGAATGTCTATCCTCTTCGTTACCGTCCTCGAGCGCATGACCCATACCATCCTCCTCTAACTCATCAATGGATGGTTCATCCCGAAATAGTACCGAGCGTTGGTCCAAGAATAGTAATTCACTTTGTTCTTGTAATGTGTAGGCCATATCAAGTAGATTTTGTATTTCACGACAAAACTCAGATTCCTCAGCAGTGGTTAGCAAAGCGGGAACACCACCTGGTGAATTGTGTGCCGCTAGCGCATCCTCCCAATAATTTATTACTGTGTCCAATGCTTCCATTCCCATCACGCCGAGTTGCTGGGCGGTTAAGTGTAGAACTATTGCACCTGTTTGACTTTGTGCAGCGGATAAAAGTGCGCCAACGCCTATAGATCCGGATGCCATGGACATGCGATCCGAATAGGCGACAGTAGAACCCGGAGGACTGCCGGAACGTGCAGATGCTTTTGAACCAGCTATGGATATCAAATCATTGGGGCTACGCATGCTATTTCGCGCACGTCGACCCGTGTATTTGCGTGTTCGACGGGGCGGGCGTGGCGGTTTTCGACGTCGTAAGAACCGCGCAAGCACGCCAAGTAAAGCTACGCCAGCGGTGAGCGAGAAAAAAACAACCTGAATGAAAATGAGCAAACACCCATTTACAATTATTATTTATTATAGACTTTGAACAAACTATTAGCCACTCACCTTTTGCGAGGTAGTCATACGGAAGGGAAGCACGCGAATATCCGCCCATCTTGGAACTAGGCCTTGCATTTTATTTTAGTACTTTTTTATTTTACTTCTGAAGAAATTTAATATGTGCTCATATGCTCTCAACCATTGCTTCGGTTACACCTGATCGCGCATTCGAGGTTAGGTGCTGCAGTGATGCGATGTTATGATGCGTCGTTGTTCGGAACGTTAT